TTGACACTAACTTCGCCGACAAGCAGCGGTCGCTCGGTCGGTATAGTTCGCTTGCGGACTAAATGCCACGGAGTTTGGAAATAGCAGATTGCCTGTTGCTGTGCGTGGGTGTGAAACGTGATCGACTACTTTAAGGGAATAAATTTTCTGGCATGTGACTCTGTGTAGTCTAATAGAAGTTTACCGAAGTTTTGGAGGAACACACTGCGAAAATTATCAAGGTTGGAGAAATCAACAGACGTGGTCACGGCGTCACATTCCATAAAACCGTAATCGTCATAGCAACCGTCGTGGAACCTCAGATGGCATATGCTGCATGGGTTCGAGAGTGCTCACTAAACTCTTTGGATCTCAGATCTCAGGATGAAGCAAATGAGCACTCTCCATCCCTGTTAGGTATGGAACCCTGGTCGGCAGACCAGTAAGCAGCCACATTTCCCCGAGCTATCCTGACTTGACATAGGCCACGGCTACGTTTTTATTTATCCATAATTATGATCCACATTACCAAACTCTGCATTAACGTCAGCATCTGAACAGCGAGTTGGTCAAGCCGTGCTTAATTAATTAAGCTCTATGCCATGAAGGCGTATGGGGGACTGGATGTGTAGATCCACATTTTCTTGACCTCGGCATTAGATGGAGGTGAGTGGTCAGCTTCACGCCAGGGTCGCTTTACCCCCGGGGAAAGAGCTCGCAGTACCCATTGGATAGGAGGCTGGGTGGGCCCCAGAGCCGGTCTGGACGACGTTGAGAAGAAAAAGTTCTTTACCCTACCGGGACTCGAACTCCGACCCCTTAGTTGTCCAGCCCGCAGCCAGTCGCTATATCGACTGCGCTATACCGGATGCTACTTATCTTAATAGACTAGTTTATTTTAATTCAGGTTATCTTTAATACTGTGTTGAATTAAGACGTTCCATGCGCAGCGCTCGATGGCTGAGGATTCCTGTGATAGACGAATCATATTTTAATGGGGCAATGAAAGAAGCAAAATACACTCGTCGACTCTATTCACTGATCCTTCGTGAAGTTTAAAATTTAGTTGATTTAATTGTTAAACTTATATATTGCTTTCCTATCTGGCAGTTCCGGGCCAGAATCCAAAGTCTTTCGTGGGTTTCCTCAGTGTCGTCAGGCAGATATAGAGATAATACCGGTTCTTGAAACAGGCCATTAGCGCCTCCCTCGAAATATTAGTTTGCATCATTCATGGTCATCACAGCTCATGCATAACCTCTGCAGCTGAAGCAAAGTTGTTCAATAACTTAAGAATCAAATTATCAATACCGTTATGTTCTGTTAATGAAAATAAAATTAATGGTTGTGCCCTTGAAAGCAAAGAGCGAACATACAAGTAGTATTATTAGACATTGCATTAGGCATTCCAGGAAACTGCAGGAAGTTTACTTGTATGAGTGACCCACAGACGTGTCAACTGTTGCTGCTGTTCAGTAAACGAATTTCCTTTCAATTACATAATTCTGCTGGCAGCGCAAACGATGTCTCGTTTTTAAACTTAGGAGTTATTTTTGTCCATGTGTTCGGGATAATCAAAAATCTCGGCGAGCTATTTTAGTGCAGTGATGCACAAATTATAACTACTACTTTGTTATCTTATACTTCACCACAAACAGGCTCATACGACTCGCGGCCGCTCGCGGCACTCAGTGAGCGTACGCGTCGACCTTGTTCAAGATCGTTACTGCTTGTATGTTATCGATTTGTGGAAATCCATAAATTATAACTTTAATTTTAATAAATTGTATTGCCGATATTTATACTACAATTACCATAACAATGAAAGTAAAATAATATCGATTCATCGATTACAAATCGAGAACAGTGGTTACAAATTCTGTCATGGTGTGGCAGCACTTATATTGCACAGATTCTGGCGTTATTATGAAGTGGTTCCATCTCTCGGAGAAATGTCATACTTTGTAGTTCACTTCCATCTCGTTGGTGACAAATCCTGGGTACTGGTAGCCATTTTCTAGCATCTTGCAAGAGGACAGTGGAGTATTTTGCTTTTTGTGTGTGCGTGAACTTTTAAGTCTGTGATAAATATATTCGTGTTAATTGAATCTTGACCACCAGGAAGATGTCGGCGCTTCTTCAGTGGTTGTGTTGACGAGGTAGGTGTACTAGGAACTCTAAATCTGACCTCCGCCTCCAGCGGACCCGAATTCTGCTAATAATAAAAAACAGAACCCGCGGTTCTGAAGTATTGGTGCAAAAAGAGGGGTTGTTTGAAGCCATCGGGAGCCCTGGAAGGTTTACAAGTTAAAACCATGGGCAATGCCGCTACGGCCAACAAGAAGGGTGACTCCGCTGAAAGTGTTAAGGAATTTCTGGACCAGGCAAAGGAGGAATTTGAGGAGAAATGGAAGAAAAATCCCACGAACACAGCAAGTTTGGATGATTTCGAGCGTATAAAGACTTTGGGAACGGGTTCTTTTGGAAGGGTTATGATCGTGCAACACAAACCAACAAAAGAATATTTTGCCATGAAAATTTTAGACAAACAGAAGGTAGTAAAATTGAAGCAAGTGGAACACACGCTGAATGAGAAGAGAATTCTACAGGCAATCAGTTTTCCTTTTCTGGTAAGCCTGAAATACCATTTTAAGGACAATTCAAATTTGTACATGGTTCTGGAATATGTACCAGGAGGTGAGATGTTCTCACATCTTCGTAAGGTGGGGCGGTTCAGTGAACCCCATTCACGGTTTTATGCAGCACAGATTGTACTGGCGTTTGAGTACCTGCACTATCTGGATCTGATCTACCGTGACCTCAAACCAGAGAACCTTCTCATCGACTCCCAAGGTTATCTCAAGGTCACAGACTTTGGGTTTGCCAAACGAGTCAAGGGCCGAACCTGGACCCTGTGTGGAACACCAGAATATCTAGCACCTGAAATCATTCTCAGTAAGGGCTACAACAAGGCAGTAGATTGGTGGGCTCTGGGTGTCTTGGTGTATGAAATGGCAGCTGGTTATCCACCATTCTTTGCTGATCAACCCATCCAGATCTATGAAAAAATTGTGTCAGGCAAAGTACGTTTCCCTTCACACTTTGGCTCGGATCTGAAGGATCTGTTGAGGAATCTGCTCCAAGTGGATCTGACGAAGCGCTATGGTAACCTCAAAAATGGTGTGAACGACATCAAGGGCCACAAATGGTTTGCCTCAACCGACTGGATAGCAGTGTTCCAGAAGAAAATAGAGGCTCCCTTTATCCCCCGTTGCAAGGGACCTGGTGATACGAGCAACTTCGATGACTACGAGGAGGAAGCGCTGCGAATCTCTTCTACTGAGAAGTGCGCCAAGGAGTTTGCCGAGTTTTGAACTGTTCTTGTCAGTTGCTTGTATGAATCCCGCAACAGAATTTAATGTAAGAGTACAAGTCTGTTTTCACTCCCACATGTAGTATGACCTCCGTCACATGTTCTAAATTTGTTGATAGCCAATATGCATGTGAGGAAGGGAATTGTGCCCCGTGTGCATGTTGCCAGTATCTAGTTTCTTATGCCTTTCCAGATTCATTCCTACAAGTCCTGGGAGGTTTTATTGTATTCCATGAATTACATCGTAGGCTGTGCCAGCTATATGGTTGAGAAGACAGTGGAACCAGTGAGAGTACATGGCAATATGTCATTAGTTACTGCCCTCTGGAATTACTGGTAGCTGTTTCTTTTATATAAAGTAATTCTACATGAAGTGAAATGTGGAAGCAGATTGTACATACAGTAGGTAAGTTTCTTGCATTGTTTGTAAGAAGCCTGCTTGAAAGCCAGGGTGCGAGATTATAAATTTCTTATATCAGGTGATTTGGTGAGACTGTTGGAGATGGCTTGAGTGCTTGGGATGGTACAGTACCTCATGTTAGATTGAAGTGTATGTGTGTATGATCCAGACCAGTGAAGTGACTTCAGTTTTTGCACTTGTTGTACTCAGTATTTTACTATGATCAGTACTAATTTTGACAATTGGTTGTGGTAAACAAATATTAGTGCCTATTTGATTTATCATTATTGTAGATTGTATTTGTTTAGGCAGTTTTTGGAGCTGATGTAACTTTAACATGATACTTGTGTGGCTTACCTTATAGTTACACACAGTATAGACAATTTGAATTTAATTAGAAAATGTGACACAAAAGTACATAGGCATATATATATTTTGGGGGGGAAGGGGTTATAATACTAAACATCATATAGTTCTTTTGTATCTTAATTTTGTATACATGCAGATTTTTATTTCTCTGTTTGAGATCATGCAACTGTTAAATGGGATGTAATACCATTGTCTGATTTCAGCACTTCACAAATTGAGTACTGCTAATTGTGTTTATTATCGGACAGGACTTGGGCAGTGGAAAACTGCTCTGAGTGAAGCTAGTAGCAGCCAAGCTGTTCAGCAGAATTTGTGTCTGAGTGGCTGGTGTTAACCTATTTATATTCGGAGATGATTAACTCTTGGATGTGCTCCAAGAAAGAAATGTTGAATTGTCTGACTAGTGCACATTTATACAGAGTTTATTTAATATTCATTCAAATTTGTTTATCATGTTTCATCAGAAAGTAAACAGACATATGGTAATACTGTACTAACCTCAGTGCCATCAATCCCATCATGATGTCACTGTTGGTGTACAGTTTTTTCAAGTTTGTGGAAACATTTGATGATACCATCGTAGAGGATGTTTTTGTGATGAAACATGTTCTGTTGATAAAGTGTTTGGTTTCAAAAGCAGATGGGTCTGGTACTCACATCCCAAGTAACCTCTGCAGTTCAGCGCGGAGCATGCTGGTGTTACTTGTTTTATAAATAGTATGGTGTACAGAAGACTTCCAAGTGTTAAGTTCTCTTCATATTGTTGTCATCTCATTTTGTAGCATAAATTTGTCGTACTTTGTAATTGAAACAAGATTTTTTAAAGCAATCATGCTTCAGTGCCATTTTTACACTTGTATCATACCAGTACTCAGATGTTTCATGGATTCATGTCTGTTCAAAGCTTTTTTTGTTGGGAGTTGTCGTGTGCATTCTATTTACTTCAGTAATGTACTGAATAATGTATGCCATATGTTATCGTTTTAAGATGTAAAATTTCGCACCCTGCAGCAATACATCATCATCACATGCCTCCTAGAGGTGACCTGAATTTTATGTTTGGTGGTTCCTCCTATGCTGTGCATATAGGAGATTAATTATGGCAGCACCATAAATAGGCAGCCATTAGATTCCATGCATTAGCACTGGACAGTTTTATTGCAGTATTTGTGTTTTGTTATTTTTGAAATAGTTTTACCTCTGCTGTCGTGATCTGAATACAGAATAGTCTGAAGTGTAGTTTTGAGTTTGTTAATAGGTACTGGTTTTGAACATTATGTTATTCATAGACTCAGTTATGTGTTGAGACTGCTGACTGAAACTCACGAGAGCTGAGTGTGTACGGTCATTGCCAGTATGTGTAGTGTGTGTTTGCCACTGTGTTAAATTTAAGTGATCCCTGCTTAATCTAAAGAATAAGTGAAGAAGCGTGTGGAACGGTGTAGGACTTTCTCTTTAATTCAGTTCCATTTGTTATGCAATGGGAATTTTAAGATAATGAAATTCTTTTTTTAAGTCCCACAGTACGGTCCATCTATCTCTGACAGTGTTTAGCAGTTCTTGTTCTACATTGATACGAGATAGAGTTTGTTGTACATACCTTATTACATAATATGAAATTATTACTTGCATGTGTTGTACTTAATACAATTTTAGGACTTTGTATGTAAATGTTGCCAAAACAACACTGCTGTGCTGAAGATTATTTTACACATATAATAGAATATTTTTATGGCTTTAATTAGAATGTTTACGGTGAGGAGTCAAAACATGAAACGCAATCCTAACTTATTATCGTTACTACTAATGTACCATATCTTAGCAAAGCACTTGGAGAGATGTATTCACTCCATCCCTATTGGTAGGCTAGAAATTGCAATTGGAAGAAAACAGTCCTGAAAAATACGCTTTTTTCCTCTGTTTTTTTGTTATTATTTTTTTAAAATATGTCTTTTGTAGATATATTACTGTGCTGTTAAGTTTCATTGTTTTGTTCTTCCGTCTACACTAACCTTATACAACAGACTTATTATACTTGATAACAGTAGCTTTACAGTTTGCGAGGCTAAAAGAGATATTTACAGTGTTTTAAGAAAAAGGAAAAAAATAAAATCCAGGTAGAATGATTGAATAACTGTTGTATTAACAGTGTTTAATTTTTATAGATCCGCAGTTCATACACTGTGAATTACAGACCTTTTGTATTCAGCCAAAACCAGATTGAACAATATTGTCATTTAATTATTTCACTTTACAAAAATAAATTGATATTAGTATTTATGTATTATTGTAATAATGAAGTTAATGGTAGTATTGGAATGAATATGAAGACAAAGTGATGAACTTACTGTAAATATTAACACTAATTTATATCATACATTGAATGATACAGCTTTAAAGTGTATTTGAACAGACTATCAAAATTAAATGTTGCAGCTTTATAGTAAACTGGTCTGTGATGCACAGTCTCATCTAGGTAATGCCCTGGTTGTTTTCGTAGAACCTCCTTCAGGGTTTCAGCACCACATCAATTGACCTAGACAGTCTGTGAGCCTATATACAGTTAACTCCTTACTACAAAAAAAAATCGTGGCTTTAGTCCGCAAGCTAACTATACCGACCGAGCGACCGTCGCTTGTCAGCGAAGTTAGTGCCAACTTTAGCGGATAGAGGGTGTCGCGTGGTCAGCGCAACGAATCCCCATGGCCGTTAATCTCGATTGTCTAATATCCCATATAATTTGGGAGTTGAATGTCCAGTTGCATGAGAAACGCTGTTATAGAAGCCCAGTACAAAGTCAAAACCACACATTTTTTGTTCTTTTGTCATTGTTTTTGTGGGCAACATAGCATGTTAGTGGGTGAAAGATTTGGATACATATACTGTAACATGATTACAAATTCTGGTAGCTTATAATATCATTTAACCTGTTTGATGGACGATGATGGGTAGCACTACTACATGAGTGAATATATATGCACATCACAAATTTGTTTTGGAATAACTTTGTAAAAATGGAAAATTTTAATAGAAATTTTTACTGGGTGGATGAAAAGTATGGATTCCTGGATACTGGATAACTGGGAGTTTACTGTAATTGGTGTCACAAAGGGCTGAATGTAACTAGCTTGAAAAAAATACATGGCATTTTAGTTTTTATTGCCTGAAAGATCAACTTTGCTACAAATCATTTGTCTTCCTACGTTAATGATACCCAATCATTCGTTAGTGCCAAGGGATATACAGCAATAATATTACGGACCTTTTAACTGGTTTGTGTTGAATTTTTCATAGTTATATTGTTACTGTAAGTGAAAATTATTCCATTGGATGTGCCACCAGCTTTAGAATTCATATGCTGAACTCCCACTGTAATAAAGGATGTTGACAGCGATTGTGGTAGCGATCTTCATATTCATGGTCACGATTTCGGTCTGTTTAGGTGAGGTTCGTTCTAAACTGCATTTACAGTATGACCCTTCATTAGCGTCAGTGTGTCTTGCTCTAGTATGACTGAAGTACTTGACTTTGGTGTGTGGTCAGTGCTTATATTTATGGGAGTGACTGATGTAATGCTGGTCACTGTAGCCGAGCGATCTAAGGCATGTACTGTCTTCGCTCGCTCGGAAGCCTAGATCGTGGGTTCGAATGCAACTCAGGGCATGGATGTTTGTGTGCGTTTTTCTGTGTTTGTGTACAGGTAGAGGCCTTGCGACAAGCTGACCACTCGCCCAAGGAGTCCTACCGAATGTGTAAGATCTAGAAAAACCGAAGTGAACGGAGTACATGGAGGTAGGCCTAGGCCCACTGGGACTCTAGTGCCAAGGGAAAAAAAACTGATGTAATGATTCTCTTCTTTTCTTGTTTTCTGAAGTTAAGTTGTACATTTTACTTATTATACCAGAATTGTTTTATATTTAGAATTGGTTTTAAAGTCATTTCAGAGTTATTGGCTCTGAGGTAACCAGAGTTGATATTCTTTTTATGTTAATTTAATTTGCGTGTTTAACAGTTTTGGGTATGAGTAAACCATGGATTTTACAGTCTTTCTTTTGAGGTGAACCAAGTGTGACAAGGTTTGCCTGGACAAAACCTTAAGATAGGCTGCCTCAGAATTAGCTTATATATAGGTAGATGCCAAATTAGACTTCTGAATTACATTTGCTGTGCTACATTTGACTAACAAAACGAAAAGTGTTTGTTTACTGTGATTATATTTTGCATAATCGCATTGCTTCTGCTCTTACTAATGAAGTGCAATATAGTAAAATTCAAAGTACCTTGCGCAGTCTGGTTTAGTTGAACGCCGTGATTAAATAAGCCATGGCTAAAAAAAAAAAACCGTTTTCACAACCATGATTCGAGCAGGATGAACTGGTCTTCAGAATTCAGGGCTCCATCTTTGAGACACTTTTCGTGATGTTCTGTTTACCGAGCCTATAGATCCTTCTATTAAGAACAGTGTTAGAGAATACAGTAAAACTGATTAAAACACCAAGGTCAGAAATTAATTTTTATTCTTGTAAGTGTATGTTTGTTACAACTTACTCTGTAAAACAAGTTGGATATGACTGTTAGGTAGGAAGTTGATACTTATCACAGTAAGTACCAGGTTGTAAGTAAAATGGTCGGAGCGTGAAGCTGACCTCTGAGAGATTATGAATGCTGGAACTATACCACCCTTTCACTATACGACTGTAGTGTTTAATTGAATGGACATCGTTACCTGTAACTATAATATGCAGGAATAGAATTACACGACACTGCAGTCGCGTCAGTGTTCAATATCAGTTCTAATTTTAAAAACTCGGAATTGCTTGAACTCTGAAAGCGGAATTAATTCATTGCTGTTGTCCTTAACTGTGTTAAGTCTGCCATTGAAATATGATTTTGATTAACCCTTTGATATATGATTTAATAATTTATGAAAATAACAGTCTTTTGGGATATGACACCATGTAGCCTGGTAGATAGGCACTGACGTTTAAGCGAAACCGATCTACCAGACTTGTCGTCACATGGCAGCAGACCACAGTCTTCATATTCACCGTCACGAGTACCCCAAATTTCACGTAATATTCTTAATTCAAAATGTGTAAATAAAACGAGTTCAGAAATTTCAAGATAAATGCTTAGAATTAACAAGCTACTTACGTTGGCGTCTAAGATGTTTTAATTTTTTTCCGGTTGCATCCCACAGCCTTCAAAGCAGCTGAGGTCGTACAATGCGCAAAAAAAGAAAAAAATTCTGTAACAGACCGTGGAGGCCCATAGGATTGTGAGACGTCGAGGCTCCCATATTTCTCTAAGACAGCTCACAGATGGCGGTAAGGTTGTCAGCCTTACACGCCGGTCGCCCTTTAGCCACCAGAAAGATTCCTGGTACTCACTTCTGTTAGAGGCTGAGTCGACCCCAGGACCATAGTGCGGCTGGAAGAATTAGGTTCAAGCAGTTCAAGTTATCCTGTCATTCAACTTTGTGCGATCTTAAATATTGAAGATGTTAAATGTAAAATTATAAATAATTTTTATTTCCTTGGCACTACAGCCCCAGTGCGCCTAGGCCTACCTCCATGAACTTCTCCGTTCACTTCGGTTTTTTTCTAGATTTTACACATCCGGTAGGACTCCTTGGGCGGGTGATCAGCTCGTCGCAAGACCTCTCCCTGTACACAAACACAGAAAAACGCGCACACAAACTAAACATCCATGCCCTGAGTTGGATTCGAACCCACGATCCCGGTTTCCAAGCGAGCGAAAACAGTACTCGTACATGCCTTACACCGCTCAGCTACCGTGACCGGCATTATAAATAAATACGAGGATAAAATGTGAGATTTTAACTTCTAACGCCGGGTGGTTATGGGATGTGAGTACATAACCGTTTTCACAGTTACCACTGGATTTCACTATCGGTGGCCACGACTCCGGAAGTACCGGAAGTAGTTACTTTACACATTGCCTTTTACATGTCTCATCATCGCCATGTGTTTCATCAGCGAAACACCTTTCTGCTTATGTTGTTCAGCGAATAGCTCTACAACTGTTATGGGATTTACAAGTGTGAAGTGTATTCTGACCCGAATTCCTGTTATGGTGCTTGACATTTTCTGTGTCAGTTGCGTGTTTTATTACTGGAAATAAGTGATGATGGTCAGAGGCAGGAAGAAAATTCTTATACTCGTACGTTACCATTTTCTTTGGGAGATACATGTCCGCCAGGTCGTTCTGTATGTTGTAATAGGAAAGGCGTTTATGTTTTATGCGACCAAACATCTTATGAAGTGATACGCATTTTGGATATCCTGTGCAAAACAAATATTGGTTGCCAGTAAAATTTTGCTTTATGGCGAATTTGGGTTCTAACAGACTGATTCATGTAAACGTTTAGAATTTATTTTACCACGCCATAAGGATTCCCTTAGTGGGGTTTGAGTCCAACTGGGACCACTCGGCACGGCGGCCACCGATTGGCCTATTGTAGCCCTTTCCGGGTGATTATGAGGATGGAGAATTTGGCGGAATGAAGATTGGCAGGGGAAACCGAAGTACTCGGAGGAAACCCACCCCAGCGCCACTTTGTCCACAACAAATCCCACTTGACCAGACCCGGGTTCGAACCCTGGCCGCCGCGGTGGGAAGGCAGCGACTAACCGCTTGAGTTATGGCGCGGCCTCGTACGTCATAAGGATGCATCAGGAGTTGGCTAAATTCAGCACTTCAGCACTAGATGGGTGTCAGTGGCTAGCCTCAAGATCCGGCCGATTTAATCCCGGGAAAAGAACCCATGTGTTTATTGGATAGGAGGAGGGGTGGGCTCTAGAGTAAGTTTGGACACTGACGATGAAAAAAGACCTTGTTACTGCCGAGGATTGAACCTCAGTCGTCCGGCCCGTAGTCAGTCGGTGTGCTGAGTTACCGTACATTTGTGCAATACATACATGGTGTATATAGCTTAGATGGAGATAACGCTTTGGTGACGTTACTGTGGGGAAAAGAGTCCTCAGTAGCCATTGGGTAGGAGGGTGGATGGGTCCCAGAGCCAGCTGGAAACGAGAGCGAACAGGAAAGTACAAACTTTGATGGGAGTCGAACCCGAGGGCCCTATGTATACATATCCTCCGAAAGCGACAAAGATTATTGGTACACCTTTAAGGTTCTTTAAAAGAACATTTCTTTATGTTGGCTAGTTTCTTGATTTAAAATTGCTGTCTCGCTGTTTCATAACAGATTTAGGTTATGATTTTTATTATTATTATTATTATTATTATTATTATTAA